GCATTGAAGGGGTAAGTTTAATAAAGGTGGATTTCATGAAAGTTTCAATGGTGCCTGGTAAATATTACTATCTGTATATATCAATGTTCTAATAAAAGGAAGAAGAATGAATGCATTGACCCTTTACCGTGTTGTTAAAGTGTCTTGAAAAGTCCCTTGCAAGCTGAAAAATGTTATTGTTCAGTAAATTCTCCTCTTGCCTTTGTGCTACAAATAAAAAAGAGAAAAAATATGCACAAAATTCCTTAGTTAAAAAAGCATTGATTAGTCAAAGTAAAAAGTGCCTAGTTTTAAAATTCAAATATTATTACAAGGCTTATAACAAAAACCAGCTGACAGGTGCTGTCCAATGCTGCGTCCACCTCTAACTCCTCAGCATCAACCATTTTTAACTCCTTTTAGCTGTTTCTTCTTCCATACAGCTCAATTTTCTTAAAAATATGCTTACATGGCTATTTCTCAATTTACCATTTGAAGACATTTTCTATTTATTTCTTAATATAGTAGAGAAGGACTTAGCGCTTGCACCCATCCTCACTACCACCCCCACACCACCTTCCTACACTTCCTCCCCTCTACACTTCCTTCCTTTAACCTCCCTCTAAAATTATGTTTTTTGTTTAAATAATTTTTTACTGTTTAGATCACTATGACAATGTAATTATTCACTGAGGAGCCAAAAGGTATATTACGATTATATTTCCTTTCTTGTATAATTTTTTGTGTTTTTCTGGCGTTAAAAGTTGCCTCACTTTTTTCTTATTTGCTTGGCATTCCTTATACCTATCAACTCATACCAAAATCTGCAACAGCACTGCAAAATCTTTCTGAAAAGTACTTCCCGTGTAATCAAACACATTAGTGAATCTCTCAGTTCCATTTTTCTCCCCTTCCTTGCAACCCCACCCTGAGATATGGCTTCTGGGGTCTTATTTTCTGTAGGCCTCCTTTCCAGCTGACCTCCTGGGACTTCCACGTTGGACCCCCCATTTTCTGAATCTCATATCCTCCTCTTTTTCTTGATTTATTCCCTCTATTTGTTGAAGCAAGTTCTTTACTAGCTTCATGAGAAAGGCTAAGAGAGAAAAATGTTTTCAGATCTTGTATATCTAAATACATCTCTATTCTGTTTATACTCAACTGATGGTTTGGCTGGGCATCTAATGTTGGGCATTATTTTCCCTGAGAATTTTGAAGACCATTGTCTTCTGACTTCTAGTATAACATTGCTGTTAAGAAGTCTGAAACCATTCTGATTTCTAACCTTTTGTGGGAGATCTGCTTTTTCTCTCTAGAAGTCTTCGGAATCTTCTTTTTTTTTTTTTGTCTTTTGTCTTTTTCTGTGTCCGGCAACGGATCGCAACCCTCAGNAACTTACTTTTTTAAATTTTTCATTTTCCAGGAACAAAAGGTCTACTTTTTGATCATGTACATAGATTTCATTTTCTAAGTTCTTTAGAATTTCAAAATGATCTTTAACTTTTTTGCTTTCTTGATGTCGTAATTGTTTTAATTCTTGCTTCACTTTGTCCTGCTCAAACATAAAACCGACAAACATTATCAAACATTAACTCCTAGAGTTCAAAGAGCAAGATGCCAGGACAACTTTGTTTTTTGTTTGTTTGTTTGTTTGTTTTTGGTTTTGGTGTTACAAGGCTGGGCTCTAACCAACTGAGCTAACTGGCCAGCCCAAAACAGAATACATTTTGATAGCTAAATAACTGTTTGGCAAAAATTGGGAAGGGGAGGAAATTTATTGAGGCTTTTAAAGAAGGATTTAATATCTCTTGAGGGAAGAAGAATATTACTTTATGGATTTTTCAGAATTCACTACTGTTTACTGAAATCTTTATTCAGTTCTTAGTTATTATACTTGTACTGTTCGAAATCACATGATCTTTATTCATTATATAATCATCACTAGCAGATAAATATATCTGTATTTATATTATACTTACTCGTAATTTTCTCCTTCATATTTCTCTACACCCATAACATATTAAAAGTGACTTTTTTTAATATAAGTGCATCTCAAAGAATAGAATGTTTCTATTTGTAATTAACCAACTCCACATACTAGCTTATCATTATTGGTTATAAATTTTAAAAAGGTAGTAAACACCTCTTTGCCTGCTCCTATTTCATCCACCCCTCCACCCTGTGACCTCTGTCCACTCATCTCTAAAAAGCATAATCCAGTCTCCACATTATAAATAAGGAAACTTAAGTCTCCCCAATGATTTTCCCACCATTACACATCAGTTGGTTTCAGAGACTCTCTCTCCCTCTCTCTCTCTCTCTCTCTCTCTGTATATACACACATACACATATACACATATATACATATATGTACATGTATGTATGTGTGTGTATATATGTGTGTATATATACATGTTGTGGCTAAAATTTTAAAACATTGGCATTGAAGGGGTAAGTTTAATAAAGGTGGATTTCATGAAAGTTTCAATGGTGCCTGGTAAAGGAATCTTCTTTTTTTCTTCTGAAATTTCACAGTGATGTGGTATGTTCTCTTTTATGTATTGCTCTGGGGATTTGATGGGATTTTTAAAATTGGAAACATATTCTCCAGTTCTGATAAATATTTTTGTATTATTTCTCTGATAATTTCATCCTTTCCATTTTTTCTGTTCTCTTTTTCTGGTTGCTGTATTAATTAGATATTTGACATCTCAGAATAGGCTTTTCATTTTCTTCCCCTTTTCTCCTCTTCCTCATCTCTTTCTTTTTTAATTCTATTTTTAGAGAAATTTTCTTAACTTTTCTTATAATCTTCCTATTTAATTTTAAAACTTTAGTTATTATACTCATAATTTCTAAGAGCTCTTTCTTGTTTTCTGTGCTTTCTTTTAAGCATCCTATTCTTTTTTCATAAATTCAATACCTTTATTTCTCTAAGAATATCCTCTTTAAAAATATTCTTATGCACTTTGTGTTGTTTCTATTTCCACCAAACTCTCCTTTTCTGTCTGCTTCAGTTTCTGTCTTCCACGTTGGATGCTTCAGGAGATGTCTGGTGATCTTTGTCCAATCCCATTCAAGAATGAGATGCTAAAAAGGTTCAGCTTCTGGGTGGGCTTCACTGTACAATGATCAGGAATGGGCCAGCCATTGTGGGGGGGACCCTCAACTTTTAGCAGATGTCTGGTGATCTTTGTCCAATCCCATTCAAGAATGAGATGCTAAAAAGGTTCAGCTTCTGGGTGGCCTTCACTGTACAATGATCAGGAATGGGCCAGCCATTGTGGGGGGGACCCTCAACTTTTAGCATCTGTTGTGGGGCTTTTCTCTGAACTATTTCATTTCCTTACAAGAAGAATCCAACAGTCTCCTTCAGGGTAGGGTAAGGGATGACAGAGAAGTCCTAACACAACTGGCTGGCAGCATTCACTAAGCTGAGCAGCAGGAGGGGGTCTCCGTCAGTACCTGTCTTCTGCCCTCAGCCACATCTGATGCCCTGCAGTGTAGATGGTCACATCTGGTTTTTGTGGGGAGAATAATTATTTTTACATTAAATGTACATGGTTATGCTATATGATAGAATGCAAATTATGAATATCTTGAGACATATCTCTCATCCACTACTAAGCCCCCAGATTTGTGCTCTTACCTCTCTCTGCCGCAGGAGTAGGTAGGCAAAAAATACTGAGGAGTATCTACTTGAGGAATGGTTAAAGTCATAGCTGGACATGAGATATAATTGGCAAACTCATGGTAAGAAACAGAAAAAAATTTCCACGTGATAGCAGATAAAGGAGTTAGTGCTACCTTTACCAAGTATGGAGAGAAACAATATAGTGAACTACTAATTCTTAATTTTAAGCAGTCTTTATAAAGAGAAAAGTAAAACTTTGACAATAACAACAGTAAGATTGTGGTGTGGGGCAGAAGAGATTAGTAGATGAGGCAACAACTAGAGAGTAGAGGGTTAAAGCTTATGGAAAAGCTGGACGAATTTCACCGTTGACTGGTGATCGATGACAACTTGCCTTGCGTTAGGAGACGACAGAGAAATCCTTACCTGGGATGGGACTTAATTACTAAACGCTTCATATGTACCTGTAACAATGTTACTGAGCTCTTGCAACTTTCTATATTTTTCTCTATACTCTTCTTCTGCCACCTGAAGTTGTGGAAGACACTCGACTAGTTCTTCTTCCTTTTCTTTGTTAATTTCTTTTTCCTTAACAAACTTTTCCTTGAAAGAAAATAAGGCTAATTGAGAAGTGTGACTTTAGAGAATTTATACAACAATTTAGAGTACAATATAAATTCTTCGAGGAGGAGAGTTCTGTCTGTGTTGATCTTCTATCCTGAGGTGCACAGAAAGGAATCTGGCACCTACTAAGTGATAAATATGTGATGGCTGACTCACAAACTCTCTGGCAACCTATAAAGTGAGGAGATTAGATTCAATTGACTCTCCAGAGATCCTTCAGTTCTATCTCACTACCGATATATTTCTATTAATGCTACTATACACACAGCCCAAAAACATATCTGAGAAAATTTCTTTTGGTCATATTTTACAAAATAAAAACCAAGAAACCCCAGCAAAACAGAATACACAAGCTCTGAGAAATGTGGAAGTAAGCAAAAACTTGGAGGAGGTAGAAATAATTGAATATAATATTACAATAAATGGGTAAAAAGTTCCCAAAGCAAAACATGAAGATGCCTGCCAAATTGTGCAACCTCAGGTTTTATTTAGTTTCAAATCGAATAATAGTTGAACCTCTTTTAGAAAAGTAGGATAGATTAAAATGGCAACTAAGGCAGAGACAGCCAGCTGACACTTTATACCCATTCTCTCCTCCTTAAGTATCTGGACTCCTGAGTTTCAGCTGAGCATATGGCTGCCAGCTAGAGGGTGGTTTCTTGGCTTCCTTTGCAGGTGGGTGTGACCAAAGAGTTTATGAAAAGAAGTCGTGTATGCTACTCCTGGCTCTGCCCCTGCAATAGGAATGGCATGTCCTCTCCTGGCCCTTTCCTCCTTGCCTGACTGGAAGAGGATGAAAATGGAAGCCACCACCTGGACCCACAGACGTTACCTTCATGCTGAGGATGGCAGGGCCACCCTACCAGCCCTGGACACTTTACCCTTGGTCTGCAAGAGAAAGAGAAGTAAACGTCTCTCCTGCTGCAATGACCATTTTAGGGCATCTTCTCATCTAGACATTCAGACTTGTAAGATTTGACTAGGCCATGCTTGATCCGGTTAACTCTCAAAACTTTTATTCTTAATTTTCATTTTTATCCAAGTTGTATGTGCACATAACTTGAAGGAAATGCTGTGTTCTAGCGGGGAAATGCCAGGCCTGCTTCCCCAGTGGGAGGTGTCCTCAAAACACAGCTGACCAGAGGCTAGTTTCCTTTGAACCTACCAAAGCGATTACTCAGCTGCAAGAGAAAGAGACCCAATTGGGTGGGCCCGGTAGCCTCCCTGGCTCAGAAGCCCCATGTTCAAATAGGAAACACTATCTCTTGGGCATACCTTCCAGGTCCCCGAAAGGGACATACATGCTTAAAAGTCACCAAACCCAGGGAATCTCAATGCCATGGTTTCCCACTGGTTGTTTTCCCAGCCAGGACACAGTACACCAATCAGGGGTCATTCTCATACAAGCAATGTTGCTTGATAATACAGCTCATATTCCACTTTTATCAAGAGACTAGGGAAAGGAGCCAGAAAGCTCCCGAGGTCAATTTCCCAATAAAGGAGGAGAGAGTGTTGTTAACCCTTTACTACACATCTTGCTTATATCCCCTGTATCTTGGCATCTCTTTGATAAAGCAGCTCTCATCTTAACCAATACATTGATATTCTAGCCTGATATGTCCCCTCCCAAATTGCCACTAGAATCCTTATGAATGAATACAGAAAGACAAAAACACCATAATTTAAAAATATCATAATGCAGAAGCAGGAGTAAATTTCTCCAGACTGCAGCAATAGAGCAGGTTAAGAAACTCAATTCTTTATCCATATACTACATTCTCTAAAAAGGACAGCCTGGAGATACAAGTACGTACGCGAGTGCGTTAATTCATTCCCATTGCCTGCACGTGACTTAGGCTGCCAGTGCTGCCCCAGCAAGAAACCATGCTCTTGTTTTAGGCTTTGAATGAGAGTGTGGAGTAACAGTTGCAATGCAGCTCAGGCAAGTTGTTGTTTGTCTGTGGGCTTAGGTTGTTGGAGTGAGGCAGCCAGTCTTCAAATCCTTCTAGTCTTCAGATCCTTCCAGACCCTTCCTCAGTATCTCTGATTCCTGAGCCACATGAGCAATGTGCATGTTTAGCTCAGTGAAGATGGGCATCAGCTTCTGCTGCAGGTTGGAGCCTTCCTGAAGTTGGAGCCTTGGAAGGGAGAGAGACCTATCCATGTTCTAGTCCATGCTTGTGGGTTCCAGCTCATTCTGCTTATCCTTGCTTTCATCCACTTCCTGTCCATCTTTCCTTCCCAGGTGCTTACCCCGCTGACTTCCATTCCCAGCCTCACTAGACTGTGCAACCAGCTCCTACAATTGCAGAAGGTCCAATCCTATAATAACCCCCTTTCCTGGTGGCTCTGCTTCTCTGATGGAATCCTGCCAGTCACGGGGCTGTAGAACTCAGCAGACCCAGTGGTATTCAGCATGTCCTTGCTAAATCAGAATGACATATAAAACTTGTGGCGAGCTCTGATAGGAGAATTACAGGGGAAGCCCCTGGGTATCAGAGCCAAGTCTATGGAAAAGTCAGTCTCAGCACTGCCCAGGAGACTACACCTCCCAACATTGGGAAGTTTATATTCTGAACCAGTGATTAATTAATATTCAGGGCTGTCTTCCTTAGAATTTATGGGTCAGAGATGCAAGTGGTAGCAGGAATTCTCACTGTTCAATGTAATGATTTTGCTTTCCCTCCCTGCGACTTTGTGGGACTTTGCAGGCTTTTGGTTTACAGATCTTACTACTGGAGAGACGAATGATTCCACCAAGTGTACAACAGGGGCTCTGTAAGCCAAAATCTGAAATCGCTTCCTTTCCATTTGAGGCTCCTTGTGCCACTGAATCAAAAGCAGAAATGGGATTATGATGTGCCCATGGTTACTGTTGATGATTATTACGGGGAAATGGGATTATTGCTCTATGATAATGGTGCTCAGATCACCCTCAGACCATGCCTCTGTATGACTTAGGCGTGGATGGATACAGCCGTCAGCGAGCACCCAGCCTGACACACAATGCAGGCTGGAGATCTGTCTGCAGTGGTTTCGCAGTTGATTTTCTTGAGTTTTTGCAATCTGCCATTCTTCTCAACTGCAAAATCTTATGCTTCTGTTTTACTTATCTTGCCTAATTGCATCGTATAAGCCTGAGTACAATATTTAATAGGATCCTTACTCCTTACCTTATTCGTGACTTGAAGGGGATTGCCCCCACTGTTTTACCAGTTGTATGATGGTCAGCTCTGTCCGCACTATTGTCAAACAGTGCCTGGGAGGCTCCCACTTCTTACCTCCTCTTCAGTTGCCATCTGGTTCAAGCTGCCTTCATTCTTCACTTGGGTTATTGCTATAGTTTCCTGATTGGTCTTCCTGCATCCACCCGTGCTCTCCTAAATTCTACCAAAAAAGTCAGATTATTTCAGCCTCCCACTCAGAATTCACCAAAGGCTTCCCAGCCTCGGCAGAGCAAAGGACAAAGTACTTACAATTGCCTGTAGGGGTATGGCAGAGACACTCCACTTGGACTTCCCCTCCAGTAAAGACTCACCGCCGTGTTGTGAGGAGGGTGGTTAGCTGACACCTCCAGTGGCTGGCTTCTTCAGGCCCCACCACAGCTATCTAGCCAATGCCATGCTCTCCTGGGGGCGGCCCCCACTCAGTGGCTGAGCAAGGAGGTGGTACAAGGGTGCAGCCATTTCTGCCCAAGTCAGGGCTCTTCTCATGGGCAATCCTTTCCCTGGAGCTCCCCAGAGAGAGTTTGTCAGGTTATGCAATGGCCTGAAGGCTTCCCCTGCCCCTCCTTTCACAGCTATCACTCCCTAATAAACCTTTGCACTCCCAATTTCATCTCAGCATCCGCTTCCTGGAGATGACTCCCTACCACCTCTATACTCCCCCGTCTCTCATCCAGCAACGCCACCTAGGACGGGGCTGCCTCAGGACCTCCGTGCTCAGCACGCCCTCTGCCTGGAGCCATTGCTTCTTGCAGATACCTGCACACCTGCTCACAGCCTTCAGGCTGGACCTTTCTCCGACTACCCTATTTACAACGGTGCACAGACCACATCACAGACGCCCTTCCTGCCCCACTTCCCTGCTTGATTTTCTCTCTAGCATTTATCGCCATCCAATATACCACATGTTCTACTTTATTTTCAGTCTCCCTTCTTCACTAGAACATGAGCCCATAGTGGCAGACCTTTTTGTCTGTTTTTCAGCGTCTAGAAGGATCCCAGGCACACAGACTTTCTACAACCCACGGAGAAACGCTCTCCACCCTGACTCTTCTCCCTGCCGCTGCTTCTAATTCTGTAGGAATCTGTGCAGGGCTTTCTTTCCCTTGCTTGTCCTCCAAGCTCTTGCCAGTTTTGATTTCACTCTTCTTGTTTTCTGGCCATCACCTTCTGATGTCTCTTTCCTGAGTTCTTCTATTTCTATATTGATGATCTTCCTAAATTTGTAGAGAAATGTCCATCGCACAGCACTGTTTTTCTGAGTGCTCTTCATTAGTTGGAAAGTTTTGTCTCCCTATTCACTTGTTTTTCTCATAGTCCTTTTGTATGGAAGATGTGTCCACTTCTTTTGTTATTCACATTGGAAGGAATTGGCTGTTCTTGGGCCACATGTCTGCAGAGGGTTTCCACAGGATGTGGCAGAATGGGATGGAGTGGGGGCACTGGGCTTAGATTCCAAACTTTGAAATTTAAGGGTTCACTAATTCCTTACTATAGGAAGGACTGTTGCCTTCAAATAAAGCCCTCTTGGTGTAGCCAAGACTTTTTCTTCCTCTTCAAACTTTTTCGAGCCCAGGAAGGCTTCTACCACCCCCAGCTGGTCTACCAGTGGCTGCCTCCAAAAAAACATGCCCTTACCTTTCGAGGTAATATCATCACCTGGAAAGGGTATATTTTTCATTGTTTTTCTGCAGACCTTCTCCCACTGGGCCCCTGGGTACTGTCAGTGACTTTTCTCTCCACCTCCCTCAGCATCCATGCCCTATTCTATCCCAGGTTGGCTTTCAGGAGTTCCAAAGTGAGTACAATACCCGATTCTAAAGGAAGATTCCTGAGATTGACTTTACTTGTCTCGGTCGCCCTGCCTAACTCTCCGCAGCTATTCCTGTGCTAGTTCCAAATGGCTTCCTGCACAGCGCCGCCGGTCTCTGAGGCTTTGCCAGCAGTTCTGCATAATTTGAAGCATGTGATTTTTTTTTTTTTTACTGAAAAAATATTTCTTGTTGTTCTATTTCTTTTTCAGGAAAAAAAAGATGAATGATTCAGAATGAAATTGTAACCTCATTCATACTAGAATATTTATTTTACAAATAACTGATTAGAATAGAACAAAATATTGTTCTCTCTCCCCCTCATGTAATCACCCCAAATTATTCTCAGATGTAAAATAAAATTTACCTCATACTTGCTTAACTCCTTCATTAACCATTTTTCTTTGATAACAAATTCCTCCTCCTCTTCTTTTAATTCTACTGTAAGGTTTTCAGTCTGTGCCACAAATTCATTGATCTCCTTTTCTCTAAAACTGGTCTAATTGAAGAAAAATGAGGATTTGTTATTTCTCCTATAGCGGTCAGCCCTACATTTTCAAACAGCCAGGAAAATTAATGTCTCTTTGCATGAGACTTGACTCTGATTTCAGTTTATATATTTCTCAGTAACCAATGAGAGGAATTTTTTTTTCCCCTCCAGAAATTAAGCTTTTTACGGAACAATGTCTATAAATGTGTGAGGAACAGGAGGAGTGGGGGATGGTGGGTGAGCAGAGGGTAAATACAGGAGCTAAATAAATGATGCTTGGGCTCAGGTTTTTTAGAGATAGTTCCGATAAAAACTAACCTCAAATAAATTTCTGATTATATACTTTGAAAGCATATTCTGGAGAGAATTCCTACTACATTTGCTAAATCTCTCTAGTTAATATACAGCAAAGGAATATATATTTTAAGAAAGTGAAATAATTCATTCTAAGCATGGAGTCAGCAGAAAGGAAAATACCTTTTAATAAGATAAGATTTAATTACATATTATAGGAGAATTACTGATATGCAATGGAGGGAACTAATTCTAAGTTCCTTGCATTTTCTTACCTCTTCAAGTAATTCAATTCGTCTAATTTCTGCACCCTCAATTTTTTCTACAACTTCTTTTATTTCAGCCTTTATCTTGGCTAACCAACGTGCATGCTTTTTTCTCAAACAAGCTGCTTTCCACTGATTTATAATGCTAGAGATTAGAGCAAAAAAATTACCATGAATTGACATAGCAGTTTACCAGAAAGATGAAGGAATTCAAAGCAAAACAAGTCCTGCTATGACTGCATGAAATTGTTTGTGCTGTTAAGAGAAGCAGGCAATCCACGCTAACTGAAAACATCAGACAAAGCATGAACTACCTCAGTGCCGTCTCTGCAAGTTGCTTGAGAATGAGAGATTGTGTCTGTGCATTCAATGGAACAGTGGAATAACCTCAGTGGGCAGCTCACCTCCTTTTAGGTAAAGGACAGAATGGGGACGGCTCAGGGGCAGGAGAAAAAAGAAGAGGCCCAGGCAGAAACAGTAATAGAATTACCTAAAGTGCTAATAAGAGAATTCAAGCTTCTGTGATGTCAAATTTTTCTCTGCACCACAATATAAAAAAGCTACATATTTGAAAAATAGTAAAATTGTGCAATTGGAGTCTTACAAATAACATTACTAACAATAAGAACAGCAATAAAGTACAGCCAAGTATTAGCACGCACTTTCTAGGTGCATTGATCTAAATATTTCCATGGATCATCTCACTTACATTCACAACTTCATAAGGTGGGAACTACTACTAATCCCCACTTTATAGGGATGGGAGTGAAGAGAAGTTGTTAAATAACTTAGCCTCAGTCAGAGCCAGTACTGGTGAAGCAACTCATGTGGTGCATCTGTGGAGCCTGTGGTCTTAGCCACTGTCCTCTGTCACTACCGGTACCACCTCCCCTACTGGCTCGCACAGAAGCCTGGATGAGCAACAGGCACTGCACAGATCCTGGCAATTTTACTTTTTGGTGACTCCACTCAACTGAAAGGAAAACTTTGGTTCTGTTCAAGGCTAAAAAATCAAATTAATAAACACATCTAGATTCGAGAGAACTCACGCACAATATAATTTAGGAAAATCATTCCCTTGGGCTCTAGGAAACAAGTACTCTGTGCTGTTCATGAAGATAACATATACTACTGATAACACAAACTTTTTTTTTTTTTTTACCATCTCTGACTTTCTCTTTCCAGGTTATCACTCAGGATTCTTATCTGTTTCTGATATACTTCCTTCGTTGCTCTAAAAACAAGGAAAATATATTGGATTTTGCATTTGTGGGAGCTGTTAGAATATATAAGAGACTCTTTATATATTATTCTTATGCTCATTAAGGTTACAGTCTAATTGAGAGACAGAACAAACCTGTGAAACAACTAAGGAGTTTAGTGGCAGACTGATAGAAAGACAATTACAATTCTGTGTCAGTGCAAATCGATTTTTGCAAGCATTGAGGTGGATATCCAAGGACAGAGAAGAAGAGATTCTGGGGAGGCAGTTGAGGAGAGGTTACTGGAGGTTAATGGTTAATAGAGAGAGGAATGTGGATTATCAGAATGCAGGTGCAACCTTACCAAGGAAAGGATGTAATCATTTGCAAAGACACAGAGGAAAGTCAGGACCCTGTTACGACATAAGGCAGGCTTGCCGCATACAGAGGATATGACACAGGAAGAATTAAGGTCAACAAAGTGTTGAGGAACTCTGGATTCTAGACTGAGTACTAACTAATTTGGTACGATATATAATTCAGAAAGCCACCATAGATTGTAGAACTGGGGAAAAATAGTAATTAAGGTTGGAAGATTTTCTTGTGCTAGGATGGATAGAAACGCGAAAATTCTAACATAGGTATCAGAAGTCTTTATTTTTACTCCCTTTTTCTTGTCTGTTGAGTGCTTCACACACAGAAATGAATTGAAAGCCACGTAAGTAAAAAGCTACTTCATGTTTTTTGAAAGATAAAAATATTCATAAATGAAACTCACAATATAAAATGCTGTAAAATAAATTTTTGAAGGCTAGAAATATTCATAAATAAAACAGAATATGAAGCACTGTTAAATAAACTAGAAACACAACTATGCTCATGTTTCTTTCCCTATTTGGAATCAGAGAATGGGCTCTCAATTTCCTACCAAAATAAATCTAATGCCCTCCCCTGGATCTCTAAGGTTCATCACGATTTGTCCCAACCTTATTTATTTTGTTTATTTACATATTTGATATAATCCACAAAGGACTTGAGCCAGTTTAAAATAAAGCAAAAATAAAAAATCCTAATGGATAACAATATTATATCACAAATTTGGCTCTGACACTACAGTGGATTATGATTGAAAATAATTGAATAATTTGCATTGTTCATGAAGAAAATAAAATCTGATTAACCCAATCCATTATCCTGCTCTTTCACAGGGAGAAGTCTGTAGTTTCCTTTCTGACACTGACATAATGAGAATTAACAGTATAGGGACAACCATCCAAAGAACCTACATTTTCTGTCATGTTCCAAATTTCTGTTGATATGTGCTCAAATTTTCGTCACCATCTCTCTTAGTTCTAAGAGCTGGCCTCTTCACTGTCCTATATTCAAGTCACATATCTCCCTGTGTGGTATCGTTCCCCCATTTGATGAGCAAACAGTAAAGTCTGACTTGCTTGTCTCATTCAAGTTTTAAGTCCTTATATAACAAAGAAGGACTCCTTGATTTGACTGTCTTGCATCCCTCTCTGATTGTTTCTTATACTTCACACTCTAGTTTTCACAGCCACACATGGTTCATTAATTATTTCATGTGTAGTAATCCTGTTCATTTACCCAACTGAACTATAAAAGGCTCTATGCCGAGTGTCAGTGGGAAGGTGTAATGGTATAATACTTAAGAAAACTAGGTACCCTTTGATCTAGTAATTCAACTTCTAGGACTTTATCATGAAGAAATAGTCACACAGGTGAACAGAGATATGTTTAAGGATGTTAACTTCAACAATTGTTTTTAATATAGGAAACAGAAAAAAACCCAAATGTCCATCAACAGAGTGCTGGTTAAATAAAGTATAGCAAAATCTGTAAAAGGAAAATATGTAGTTGGAGAATAGAATGAGGAAAGATGGTCCATATATATGATTTTTTTAAATCTTTATTTTGAAATAGTTTCAAACTCAATAGCTAAGTGTAAAAAATAGTACAAAGAATTCACATATACCCTTCATCAACTTCTCCAAATGTCACCATTTTATCATATTTGTTTTATCATTTTCCTAGAAATAATTTTAAGTGGAAAAATCCAATTATAGAAGAGTGCAATCCAGTTTTTATATACACAAACACACAAAAATATACATATATATTTGAGAGCATGTACAAGGGTACTTCAGAAAGTTCATGCAAAATTTGTATTATCTTTCAGTTGAAGTAACTTTGTAGAGCCAACTGTTAACAGTGATTATCTCTGTGGAGAGATGGAGAGATTAGGGTAACTTTTACTCTCTAAGCTACACATTTCTAGATTTGAATTTTAAAATCAAGTACAGGCATTGCTTTTTAAATCAGAAAAATTAAAATGATGTAGAATGACAAAAGTAAGCATCATAGGGGGTCAGTGTTGTGATAATATTCAGACACATTCTTGTCATTGGGCCCCTCCAACTGGCCCATTCCTCATGTCCAACAGCTTCCATAGAATTCAGAAGCTGTTTATCCATTCAATAAAAACTTCAGTGATAATGACTTTTCTGTGAAACAGAGAAAATTAATTATAAACTTCCTTTTCTGTAATATATTAGAAATTGACATGGACTTATTGTTACTGTTGATTTAAAAATAAACATAGAGAGAAGTACAGATTAAAAATTTCAAAGGCCACCACAGGAAGCGCCCTGGGCTCCCAGGCTGGGGCAGTGGGGGGCCAAAGGCTTCAGCCACACCACCCTGACATCTGCAACCAGCCCAGTGATGACCACCAAACCACCGCTGGAAGCCCCCTGGTCTCCCAAGCTTGGGCAGTGTGGGGCTGAGAGCTTCAGCCACACCCCTCTGACATCTGCACCCAGCTCAGCAATGACCAAGCCACCACTAGAAGCCCCCTGGTCTCCCATGCAGGAATGAAGGGGGTGCCACAGGCCTCAACTGTGCCCCGCCTCCTTCCTCCTTCTCCCAACCTATTTCCTTCCCCTTTCCCCTGGCACCTTCCCCCTCCAACTGCTCCGCAACATCTTAGAATGTAAAAAATATATATTAGTAAATACATAAATTTTAAAAAATAAAATAAAATAAAATAAAGTCAGTCCTCTGCCTTATTCCTTTCTTCTAACCTGCCTTTCAGAGGAAATTACTAACAGTTTGATGTATGTTGTTTTAAACTGCCCTCTTTATGTTTATTCAAACTATACAAGTATACACAGTTTTAAAATAGGATCTTAATGTATTTATGATTCCACAATTTTCTATTCTACTTTAAAGTATCTGTCATTTTTCTAAGTCAGTCTTCTTCTCAACATCTTCACAGATTACATGAATGTCCTATACTTTATTTGCACACTCTGCCATTGAAGGACATGTAAGCTGTTTTCAGTATTTAATAAATACAAAAATCCTGCCTAAAAAAAAATTTCAAAGGCAACAAACATACCGATGAAGATCGTAAAGCATGGTGAATCCCTCTTCCATATTTTTGATGTCTACTTTTCTTTGTGATAGCAAGTTTTCTTTCTCAGCAATAAATATCAGTTGTCTCTGATTTCTGCCATAAAAAAACCTAGTTATCATTTGTTGAAGGTAGAAATAATCACTTTTAAAGTCTAAGTATGAGAAAATATGTAAACCCAAATAAAAATTTAAAAGGTAGCTTGGAAAGTTCAGATTATGAACTATTTAATAAATTAGTAAAAATAGAAACAAAGTCTTTTTGCTAGTGGTGGCTAAATCTAAACTTATGCATAGTATTTTCACAAAATTTATGAGAATTCTCAAGCCACTGAAAGAATATTAACTGCAATAGTACCTACAAAACAAGAACAAGAACAGTTCTGCAGCACTCCATTTCTCTGAGTGGGTGTGTCTCTCCTAACGCCTTTATCAATTCTGTCATGTTCTCCAATGAAAGGTGAGAGTCAGCCAGACCAACTATGAATACTGGCTCTACCTTTTAATAACAGTTGAATTTGGACAAGAAACTTCACCTGTGAGATAAGCCTCAGTTTCACCATCTGTAAGATGGGGATTAAAAGACCGAGCTCACTGGATGGAAGAATGGAATAAAATGTAGAGAGCTCAACCCTGTGTGTGGACTGATGAGGCATTTTTAAGTAGTTCTTTTTGTCTCAGTTTGCAGGAGAGAATAATGAGGCTCAGATAAGTCTACAGTTTTGTTCAAATGCTCAGACATTGATAGGAACCAGCCTGCAACAGAAAGTATTTTATCTAAGTGACTCATGTCTTTCAAAACTGCTATGAACTGCATTGTATTGTCCATTGTGCCCTGTCTCTCTGCTCTAGAATTTATATGCTGAAACTCTAACCCCCAATGTGAGGAAGAGATAAAGAGATCAGGGTAAGTTTTACTCTCTAAATTACACATTTCTATGTTTGGATTTAAAAATTAGGTATAGGCATTACTTTTAAAATTAGTGTTATTTAGTATTACAGAGGCAGATTGGGGGTGTGTTTATTTATTATTGAGTAAAGAATATTTCATTGTTGTCAACAGATTTTAAAACTAGGAAAAGCTTCTGTGGAGAGTCACATTTTGATAGCAAGGAAAGCGCCCCATAACTATAGCATGTTGATTCACATACAGATCACGGGTAGAAACATACTCATCATAGACCTTCTGTTTCTGCAAAAAACTTTTATCCTCCTCATTTAAGACAATCTTATATTGTCTGAGAAGAGTATTCATTTTCTCTCGTAGATCTTTGTTTTCTAAACGAGCTTTGTGTAGTTGTTCAGCCAGCTAGAGAAAAACAAAGGGCTTGAATGAATGAACTTGTTTCACAATCCTTTTGGAGGGGCTTGGCATCAAAAGGACAGCTCTCCAGAGCACGGGGTATATTGCTTAGCACACAACCAATATGCCATGAATGTCAAATGATTTAATTCTATAGCAAATACAAGGGTACTTCAAAAAGTTCACGGAAAAATAGAACTGAAAGATAATACAAAACTTTCCATGACTTTTTGAAGTACCCTCATATGCAATTGTACATTTTGAGCCTCTTCTTTAAGTTATGACAAAAGCATAGAAAGGTATAATGTAAAACCATAGAGGAATCATTCATGTTGAAATAAGAAATGGGATTAATAAGCTGTGATCAGTCAGCAACATCTGTATGTCCTTTTCCCAAGATGTGAACCATACTTGGAGGAAAAATGCAACATTCATAGAAGCTTTTGCTCAAAACCTCTTTGACTAGATATTATGATTGTTTCTTGTTAAATATTTCTATTTGAGGACAAAAAATAGTACCCATTAGTGTTTTGCATGAGGTAAAAATTTTGTGCTTGAATAACTCTATTGAATTGCTTCAAATGAGGTAAGAAAGATTTAGAAGGAATGGAGGCCTGGGTAGTTCAAAATAAACCTCTGGCTGAGGACCACTAAAATGGCTTAATGAAAAAAATCTTAAAAGCATTAAAGAACTAGAAAACTGGAACAAGACAAGGATGCCCACCGTCACCACTTTTACTCAACACACTACTGGAAGTGCTAGCCAGAGCAATTAAGCAGGAGAAAGTAATAAAGAGCATCCAAATTGGAAAGTTGGAAGTCAAGTTTTTCCTGTTTGTAGATGACATGATTGTACGTGAAGAGAAATCTAAAGACTCTAACAAAAAACTACTAGATCTGATAAACAAATTCAGTAAAGTTGCAAGATACAAAATCAACGTACAAAAATCAGTAGCATTTCTGCACACTACTGATGAACTTGCAGAAAAATAAATCAAGAAAGCTATCCCACTTATAACAGTAACAACAAGAAATACCTAGGAATAAATTAGCACAAGGAGGTGAAATATTCGTGAAAGGAAATCTATAAAATATTGATTAAAAAAATTAAAGACAGAGAAAAATTGAAAGACATTCCACGCTCATGGATAGGAAGAATCAATATTACCAAAATGACTATACTACCTCAAGCAATATACAGACTCAATGCAATCTCCATCAAACTACCAATGACATACTTCACAGCAATAGAAAAAACAATTCAAAAACTTGTATAGAACAACAAAAGACCACAAATAGCCAAAGTAATCTTGAGCAAAAGCAACAAAGTGGAAGGCATTACACCCCTTGATTTCAAAGTTATAGTAATCAAGGCAGCATGGTACTGGCACAAAACAGACACATTGACCAATGGAACAGAATAGAGTATTCAGAAATAAATCCACATATGGGCCGGCCCGGTGGCGCACTGCTACAGTGCGCCGCTTGGGAGCGCAGCAGCGCTCCCGCCGAGGGTTCGGATCCCACATACAGACTGGCGGCTCACTGGCTGAGCGAGGTGCGGGTGCAACACCGAGGGTTGCGATTCCGTTGCCGGGCACGAAAAAAGACAAAAAGGAAAAAAAAAAAAAAGAAAGAAAGAAATCCACATACTTACAGCCAACTGATTTTTGACAAAGGAGCCAAGAACATACATTGAGGAATGGACAGTCTCTTAAATAGATAGTGCTGGAAAAATTAGAGATCTATATGCAGAAGAATGAAACAAACTAGACCCATCTCTCACCATATACTAAAATCAACTCAAAATGGATTAAAGACATAAATGTAAGACCCTAAACTATAAAACTTCTCGAAGAAAACACATGGAAAACATTTCAGGACATAGGTCTGGGCAATGATTTTATGAATAAGACTTCTAAAGCACAGTCAACAAAAGCAAAACTAAACAAATGGGATTATATCAAACTAAAAAGCTCCTGCATGTAAAAGAAACAATCAGCAGAGCAAAAAGACAACCCATAGAATGGGAGAAAATATTTAGCAAGCTGTGCATCTGACAAGGTAGAGAGCTAGGGCTGGGTCTGGAGCTCACAGACCCCTTAAGCCTGTTGTCCAGACTGGGTCACAAACCCTTCACATGCAGGTCTATGAGCTAGGTAAATGGAAAAAAGGTCCTTGGAGCTGTAGGTGAAGAAAGAGAAGTCTTTATTCAGCACACACATGTCTGAGAGCTAGGCAGTCCAAAGAGAAACTCAAAACTCAACTGCTACCAGTAAAGTCCAAAGAAAAACTGAGCAGCTGCCAGCAAAGTAAACATGCTCTATTTTTAGATGCAAGCTCTCTTCCAGCCAGCAGTTCAGGGCCGCTGCTCCACACAGCTCTTGAACACACAACAGCAACAAAACTAAAAAGATACATTGGTGCTCATGTGCACTAATTCCACCCACACACACACAATTTGTTTACAAAGAATGTGCTGCATCACACCCAACCAGACTTTAGGACAGGGGGCCTGATTAAACTGTTCTATTTTCCCAACAAAAGGGATTAATATCCTGAATATACAAAGAACATAAACAACTCAATAGCAAAAAACCAAATAATCTGATTTAAAAATGGGAAAATGAGTTGACTAGATATTTCTCAAAAGTAAACATATAAATGGCCAACACATATATGAAAAAATGCTCAGCATCACTAATCATCAGAGAAATGCAAGTAATAGCCACAATGAGATATCATCTCACTTGAGTTTGAATGGCTATCATCAAAAAGACAGAAGATAACAAAGGATGCAGAGAAAGGGGAACTCTTATACATTTCTGATGGGAATGTAAATTTATACGGCCATTACGGAAAACAGTAGGAGGTTTGTCCAACAAGTACAGGTAGAATTACCATACTATCTAGCAATTCCAGTACTGGGTATGTACCCAAAGGACAGGAAATCAACAAGTCAAAGGGACACCTGCCCTCCCATGTTTATCATGACTCTGTTTATAATAACCAAGATTTGGAACCAATCTAAATGTCCATCAACAGATGATTGGATAAAGAAAATGTAATATATCCACACAATGGAATACCATTCATCCTTAAAAAAAAAAGAAGGAAATCCTGTCATTTGGACAACATGGATGAACCTGGGGGGCATTATATTCAGTGAAATAATCCAGGCACAGAAAGACAGGTATTGTGTGATCTTACTTACATGTGGAATCTAAGAGTTGAACTCATAAATGTAGAGAAGAGAATGACGGCTACCAGGGGCTGGGGATGAGGGGATTGGGAGAGATGTTGCGGCAGGGGGAGAGATAAAGTTAGAGTAGAGTTTAATGTCATGTTTGAACTTGCCTCCAATAACTCACAAGAATTACGATTGATTGGATGTCACTAAGAGCCCACAGTTTCTACCCGAGTGGAAATAACGAATGGATTAGAGCCCTGCTTCCTTTGAAGTGATCACTCACTTGTACCCATGGAATTTGTCTGAGCAGTATGGATGGAAAGTGTAGTGGATTGAATTATGTCCCCCCCAAACTCCCTGAAGCTTGAATTGTGTCTCCCAAGTTTTATGTATTAGACACTTGGCTCCCACTGTGACTGTTAAGAGGGTGGGAAATCCTATTATGGTAATTGAAAAGTCGGGCCTTGAAGAGGTGATTAGATTACAGGACCACACCACAGTGAAGGGATTAAAAATGGTGGTCAGGGCTGTGGTTTGGAGGGCTTTAAAAGGAGAGCACAACATGTCTGTCTCTCTCTCTGCTCTCTCTGCTTCCACTATCTTGCAATGTGAGGCCCCTGGGTCACTGTTGCCACCACCAGATGGACTTTGGACTTCCCAGCCTCAGAAACTATAAGCAATAAATTTCATTTTGTTTATAAATCACCCAGTTTCAAGTATTTTGTTATAAGCAACAGAAATGGACTAATACAGAAAGGAAACACCTCTACATCTGCCCTTTTGATTAAGTTAGCCATGCCAGTTTACCTAGTAGGCTGTTCAGATAATCATTCAGGCTGGAAAATGTGAAGCTATTATCAGAAGGTTGTCTAATAGCTCTTACAATAGGGATTAAATAGAATGAGGAAAAAAAAAAAAGACTTTTGCTTAAAAAATGAAAGGCAACTGTAAAACCAAGCAAGCAAGCAAGCAAGCAAGCAACCAACCAACCTTGTCTGGTTTGTCTTTCTTGCAACTAAAAGAATCAGAGTAGACCTAGTCCAGAGAGGAAGCCATTTCTAATGCTGATAGTCCACAAAACCCAAAATGGAAAAAAATTTAATTGGTACAAATCATTTTTCTGGAAGGGAACTGCCTTTGATATCCCGGCTGAGCCCCAGGGCATGACTGCAGGCTTCAGACAGAGGGGGATGTTATGCTTCGTAACAGAGGGAGAAGAATTTGGATCAAAAAGACAACCCATAGAATGGGAGAAAATATTTAGCAAGCTGTGCATCTGACAAGGTAGAGAGCTAGGGCTGGGTCTGGAGCTCACAGACCCCTTAAGCCTGTTGTCCAGACTGGGTCACAAACCCTTCACATGCAGGTCTATGAGCTAGGTAAATGGAAAAAAGGTCCTTGGAGCTGTAGGTGAAGAAAGAGAAGTCTTTATTCAGCACACACATGTCTGAGAGCTAGGCAGTCCAAAGAGAATAGTAAAACTTATTTAACAAAGGCCTTTTGGTTGGATTTTAATTGTATTCCCCACCCCTCCCAAATTTTTCACTATCCTAATGCATGCTTCATTAAATATATTGTGAATAATATTGGTTTACACCCATAATTATTTACTTATGATATGATATTTCTTTTAACCTAAGTTTAATAAAAAGTCTAGAGAATTTTTCTGGGGGCTAAATCTGACTCAAATACTTCTAAAAAATACTAATATTATTATGTGCAGAACAGGTTGCTATTCTTCACAGGTTACCACACAACAGCATGAAGGTCATACTTTCCCTAAATAATTCATACAGAAAATGTCCATTAACTATGGATATTCCTAATGTAAAGCTATCACACCAACATGAAAAATTACCAAAAACCAATTCATCTTCTTTGCTGTTTTACATATTTAAAGTACTTTGGGAGGAGATCAAATCTTTAAATCAATTTCTATGAATAATCATTATCAGTCAATGAAAAATCTACTTTTGAAAAATTTTACATTTCTCACACGGATCTAAAATATTAACTAAAAAAAATCTAGTTATAATCTAAAAGTCATCATTTCTGTCTTCCTACCTGTTTTATCTTGTGCAGGAACTCATTTTTTTCAATATTAGATACATTATCCAGATTTTGCTTGTGATTTGTAAAAAACTGCCTATGAACAATGGAATGCAAACAGATTCATATTAGAACATATTTTCCAGCAAAGCCACCTGTACTTATGATCTCAGAAACTTCCAATCCCCATCTCCCTACACAATGTATTTATTTATATATTTATTAAAATAAACAAAAAATTTTACTCTTTTGATTTGATGAATCAATACCTCATTGCTTAAGAAGCAATTATTGTACACCTGCACTCTGCGAGATATGTTCTAGGTACTGGAGATACAAGTAGGCAAAATCCCTATCCTCATGGAAATTACATTCTAATGGAGTAGTCAGAATATAATAAGTAAGGTATCAAAAAATAAATACCATGTTGTAGATAGTGTTAAGTGCATCAAAGAACACAAAGTAGGGTAAAGGATAGAGAGATCATGAGAGCGAGAATAATATTCTAGGTAGGGGGTCAGGGAAGACCTCTTTGGGATAACCTGTAAAAGACCCGAATGATGAAGATCTGAAGGAAGAGCTTTACAGGCAGAAGGAATAGCAGGTGATAAGACCCAGCCAGAGACAGGAAAAAGCTTGGTGTATTGAAGCAGTAAAATGAGGCTGAAGAGGTAGACAGGAACTACTAGATCATGCAAGATCTTGAGGGCAGGGTAGGAGTTCACATTTTATTCTGAAGGGAACCAGAGGAGGATTTTGTAAGCAAAGGAGCAACATGAACTGATTGACATGCCTCTGGTTACTCTGTGGGGAGAGCCAACAGTGGAGAAAAACAGAGCATGTACAAGGCTTTGGTGGTGGCTCAGAAGAGATAACAGCAGCTTGGACTAAGCTTGTAGTGGTGGAGGTAAGAAATAGCTGTATTCCGGATATACTTTGAAAATGAAGGCAATAGGACATGGCTTTGCATTTGGTTGAAGTTAGAGTTGGGTTAGCGTTAGGTAGTGAGGAAAACAGAAATGGTGGATGACTCTGGGCTTTTGGCTTTAAACGGTGGTGCTACTTTAGCTGATATGGAGGACTGTGGGAAGAGCTGTTTCAGGAAGATGAGAAATCAAGGGTTCTATTTAGGACAGGTTATGGGTGAGATATCTCATCGATATACTCCAAATGGAGAAGTCAAGCAAGCTTTAGAGTACATGCATTTAGAGCTCAGGGTATATAAATTTGGGAGTCATCAGGTACAGAAAGTACTTAAAGCCAATAACACTGGATAAAATCAAGTGTGGAGAGTGTGAACAGAGGATAGTGGAGGGCTGAGAACTCCATGATTTAGTTAGAAAGAAGAATTGGAACTAGTAAAGGATCCTGAGAAGAAGCAACCAACGCAGTAAGTGAAATAAGAGAACGTGAGGTCTGGGAAGCCAACTAGGAAAGTATTTCAAGAAGGTGGAAGTGATAAGCTGTGTCAAATTCTATTAAGAATTTGAGAACTTTAAGGCATAGACTAAACCACTAAAGCTTGGCAAGATGGAATTGATTGGTAATAACAATTTTGAAACCATTTTAGTCCCCAAAATAATCTTCATGGCTTCATGAGCTTCAATGGCGTGTACATACTCTGGGTCACAAAGTGGATGTCATCTATATACAGCATTTAGCTTCCAACTCCACATTTCCCATATGCTGAAAACCAGTTGAATGGCAAAGAGACCAGAGCAGTTTAGAAAGGTAGGCACTGGATTCACCTTTAGTTGTGTAAACATATCATGCTGGATAATAATAAAGACCAAAGATCAAACTATCTATGCCTCCTGCGGATTTGTGAAGCATTTAAGGTACTCGTAGTTGTACAAACACATACAGAATTTAAACTTGTAATTGAGTGATTTTTTTCCCTCAATTTTTTGACCTCAAAATAGGTCACAGTGCTAATAACCTGTTTGCAAGTGAAAGATTTCATGGGGGGAAATTAATCTTATAGATTGATAGGAAGATGAGTTGTGCACATTAGTTTAGTTTCCTATATAATTCATTCTCACAGAATCTTACAAAATATTATAAAACAACACTGATTCTTCAAATGCACCTAGCAAGAATGAGGCTGCCTCTCCCCCTTCCATAGATAGAGAAAATAGACTAAGAAAATAAAAAGAATACAGAGAATTTTCCTTTCATTTTCCAAGTAATGAAGAGGAAAGGTAAAGTTTTTTGACAAAAAAGGAAGGTAATCTATATTCTCAATCACCAAACTAATCAAAAGCACTTTTTCTTGGTGATGTTCCACATGAATAAAAACTCTTGAAAATCTGGGTTTACAAAAAATGATGAACCATTAAAAATGGAAGATCAATGAATCTTCACGCAAGTCAGGTAACGTGAAGACTGCTTATAAATAAAATTTTATCAGTGTAGTGAGGTTTTTAATCATAACTACTAGAAATAATGTAAGAGCTAATCCACATCTTCCACTATAATTTTTTGCCTAGTTTTTTCCCCGAAATTTGTATAAACTAAAAGTATTGAGTCACTTACAAAGCAAAAGGGTTTTGTTTGTTTGTTTTTGCCTGAGTTTTAAATGGAGTATTAAGTGAGATTTCCTATTTTTTAATCTGTTACTGAGTGTAAAGATTATTGCCTATTTTATGGACTGACGGTGGTAAATTAGCATTGTACACTGTAATTGCTGTCTTAGAAGACATAATTTTAATCACAATACATTTAAATGTATGTGGAAATGAGCCATGTTATAACAGGATTCCACATGTGAAGTTACTTATCTTTTGGGAATCTGCTCAGCCCACAATTTATCTCTTAAACTTAAAGTGAACTATTAGGGTGGGCTCTGGAAGCTATATTACAAAACCCCATTTTCCTGTCCAGAGCTGATCAGGAACCAAAGCTGAGCCAAACACATTCTGATGTGAAATCTGGGAATTCTCCTGGGAGAGAGTCTATTGGTCAATCCCTAAAGATGGCTGGACCTGTGACAGGTCAGTTCAGAGGGCTTGGCATAGCCATACTTTGCCATGTGCTCACTGAGAAGAGAATAAAGAATGAAACACTTTCACAAAAAGCAGCACAGACTGTGAGCCTTTGGATGAATGGAAGGCTGCCTTCAGTTTCTGGTTTCAGGACCATGTGCAGCAGTTTCTCAGTAAGTTCCTCAAGTCCCCCTTGACTGAAAACAACAACTATAATAGCATGGCTGGTTGGGTTGTAGCCTTCTGGCATGACCCACCAATGCAACAGTGCCCCATGGGCACTTTTGTTTGCAGGAAGTCAGAAACTGAAATGAAGACAAGACATACATCCCAAAGTCCCTCTCCTTTCCCAAGCCGACATCATCCTCAGTTTTTTCTCTTGATCATCTGAAAAGCTGCCTAATTTCAAAATGAAGAGATGATTCTATAAAGCTATGACATACATTTTAGTAAACTAAGAGAAGATAATTTCCACCTCATATTAAAGACATGTTTTTTAAAATGAAAATAGCATATTAACATCTAGGAATAAGAGAAATATCACATGTTCTCACTTATTTGTGGGAGCTAAAAATAAATAAATAAATACACAAAAAACCGGGGGGGGGGGGGGGGGGGAAGAAAAC